AGTTCATTGTTCTCCATGCATTTTTAAAAATAAAAACCAAATTAACATGTTAGTAAAAAATTTTGAGGGCCCCCAAGATATCTCTCGCGGACCCCAGTTTGAGAACCTAAAGCCTTTATTTAATATTATTGAGGAAACACACCCTAAAGATTTAAAGGGTGCAAAGTTTTTAAGCATTTATCAGAGAACATTCCAAAGTCTGAACCTTCAGATGAAGACTTCAAATAAATCTTTAGGATAGACCCCCTCACTCCGGCTTCTCCAGATTAAAAAGTCTTTGAAGTCTGGAAACCTTCAAGGCTGGATGTCGCATTTAAAAACTAATTGTTGCGACGAGAATGAAATAGAAGGAAGCTAAAATGTCTCAAATGTTTTATTTCTTGTGTTTTGGTTTTTAGTTGGGGACAGCCATCGGCTTCCTTCTGCCTCCAGTCTTGGTCCCGAACACGCCCGATGATCCTGAACGAACAGGTGTGGTGAGAAATGTGACACAAATGAAGGAGGAGTGTGTGTGTATTTAACTCTGAAACATCCTCCTCGATGTTCAAAACAAAAGTTATTCCTCTGCCTGAAAACAGACGTTACGTAAAACGTTATCTCTGGTGTAATTAGCTTTTCAGGTGAACTGGATTTTTCTGTCCCACAGGTCACAACATCAGCGTCATGTTCTACGGCACAGCTGCTGTCTCCACGTTCCTCTTCATCCTCACCGTTATCGGTACGACAACTCGCTTCATTTAAACTGCACCCATCTGCAGGGGAAGCTGGGGGGCTTTGTGGGTCATTTGTTGACCACAGATGTACCTTTTTTATTTGCGGGAAAAGAAATGTTTTTGTTCTCCGAGCCTCAGGGGAACACAAACATCTAGATCCTCCTCATGAGCCCTTTGTTTCAGGACCGGAGTCACAGCTCGATACGTTTGAAGAGTTTATATTCAGACATTTTATTCAGAATTTTAAGCTGGAAACATCAGTGGTGTTTATGGGCTGTGGCCTTGCAGCKGTATGCAAACACACGATGTTTAAACTGCAGCTGTGGTTTAAAGCAGCCGCAAAGAATCAATGAGTTCAACAGAAACTCGTTTAGGTCGACAGTCTGAAGGCAGGTGTTTAACACTGACAAATTCTTTCTTCTACCAACTTWAGATCAATAAAAACACAAAAAGATGCTTTATTTGGCCACGTGGGGTTCACTGGATCTGTTTTTACTCATATTTTAAAACTTTTACTGTAAGAGTTAAATGAGTATTTTACAGGATATAAGA